TAGATGTTTTAAATTCGACTTATGTCAATAAAAGGAAGAAGTAGACCTTAAAAGACTTGGGCCATATTGTATAAAAGATGATCTCAATCTATTAGAATTAAATAAAAATATTGCACTCATAGGATGCAATGAAGAAAAAAGATTAATGTAGCCGACCTCAGGGATAAAGGCTTGTTTTTGTTGCTGTTTTTGCAAGATTTTATTAAAACCTATAAGATGGAAATGGTGTTACCTGAAAACCTTTTCTGAGAATGATAATGGCTGATTAATTTGGGAGTTGAATGTGGGAGCAGATTGTTGTAATGGGGGCATTAAACGTGAATAAATACTTTTATTCAGGCAACTTTGAAATGCACAATGCCTGAAACCCATAGCAATGGATCCTAGATTTTGCTTGCTTTAGTTGTTGCAAGGTGCATATGTGTATTGTAACCCTCAACTGCTACAATCGTTTATAAAGCAAGGGTGCTGATCTAAAACTTGGGGCCAATCTAAGCAATAGAAATTTCATCATAAGGCTTCTTGATAACTGTTTCTGTGTTCCATGTGCCATCACAGTAGATTTACTCATCGTGCATCCAAATGTTATGCACAAAAGTGAATGATAGAATAAATACATAGGTATTTGGTAGAATAAAATAATTGACCGACTGGCGATCTAGCCAAAATAATGGACATATGTGCACTCAACTTATATTTTGAGGGAGCTAATTGCATTAAATATTAGTAATTGTTCACAATATCTAATGAATTAAAAACCATGTACAGTCTTACACGATTTTTTAGGTGATAAAAATGATAAATGAAATTGGCACTGATAATTTCTTGATTGTCAAACGACTATATAGTAGTATCTACATATATTTCTATATGTTCACGGATGTATCTATATATAGATATATATCTATCTATTTATCTATCTATCTATCTTTATATATATATATATATATATATATATATGTATGTATATATATATATGTATGTATGTATACATATGTATGTATGTATGTATACATATGTATGTATGTATGTATAAATATGTATGTATACTTATTTACACACACACACACACAGCTGTGATGGTCATTGAGACTCCACCCGTTTATATATTTATGAAATACCCTCCCACACTTTGTATCTGTATCTTTCTTTCTACTTAATATATTAGCCTCTTTGGGCTTTCAAAAAAAAAAAAAGTATGTCAATTTCATTTGTGATGTTTTTTTTGCTTATAATTATGTAGAGAGAGAGAGAGAGAGAGAGGTGCCAAAATGGTCCTTTTGTATTTTTGCAGGGGGGCTATTTCAGTCTCAGAGTCCTTTGAGGTGTCAAATTAGTTCTTACACTTTTAATACGAGTTTAAGTAGTCCCCATATTTTGATGAATACTTTAACCACCATCAAAAGAGTATAGGAAGTTGTTCGGCAATTTTATAGACTCCGGAATTAAAATTGTCCTTAGTAACCTCCCTCCCTCTCTCTCTCTCTCTCTCACTTCACTCACTCTTTATCATATTTATAATTGGCTGTATTGATAATTTCGATTTCTGCTGCTTTGTGAATACAACAAAAAAAGTTGGTCGAAGGTGGCTGGATGCACCTTGTACTGATTCCTTAATGCAATCTAGTTTAAATTTTATTATGCTCTTGTTTCTTTTGGATGTACTAATCATATATCAATATATTGTTTTAACATTTTAACAGGGAGAATTTCAAGTTATTTCATGGTTTCAGTTTCTTCCAAGTGAACCTGAGTCATCATCTTTGCATGAAAAAAGGTATCTTCTTGTAGAATTGGTTACTGAAAAATAGACTGATGTTTCTTGCTAAATAAAGTGCATTTTAAAACATTAATTTTCTTATTTAGTTCAAAAGCAGAGCAGAAAGATGCTGCTACCTGCTCCGTGCTTTCTGCTCACCTTAAGTTACAGAATGATGGCTTTCTCAGCACATGGACTAACTCTTTTGTTGGCCCCTGGGATCCTTCCCAAGGTGTGCACAACCCTGGTAGGTATTTACCATTTTCTTTGATTTGCATCATACCTTCTCTTGCTTTTTGCAGGTTATTTTAAATTCGTTTAAATTAACAGATGAAAAAATCAAACTTTGGTTGTTTGTTCCCGGACGCTATTCTTTAGTAGTGGATACTGCTCAAAATGCAGTTTCAAAATTGAGAGGTTTTATATATACTCATGATTATTTTGCATATGAATTTTATTATTTTTGTACTTTCCTCTATTATCAATAATTTTGGTGCTGCATTGATTCATCATCCAAAGTTGTTGGACGAGGAGTGTGGATTGCTCCTGGAGACTCTGAAGAGGTTGCTGTTGCACTCTCTCAAGCATTTAGGAATTCGATTGAAAGGTTTTCCTTTCTTTTCTTTTTATTTAAAAAAAAACCAAATTATTAATTTTGTTCTATGCTATATTTTGTTATTTTCTTACGCTTCATGTTTTTTTCTATTGATAGAGCATTCAAAGGGCTTTCTTATGTGAGATTTGGGGATGTTTTTGCTAAAAGCCATTCTGCATCAAGAGGAAAAAGCTTCAGGTTTCTTTACATAATTTCCATCTTAAATAAGTATTCCCCTACCGATCATATAGTGTTAAGCTATTGTCCAACCCTACATTTGGTTTTAGAAAGTATAGGTGGTCCAATGATTATGCATTTTTTTAATTTTGAATTTGTTCATGAAATGAATTTCCTTTGGTTGGTTGCAGTTCATTTAATTTTGGGTCTAATAATGGCAAAGTGTCGAATGTTTTTATTTTTTATCTTTATTTTCTTTGTTTTTTAGAATCAGTCTCTTCATCTACCATCAATTAGATTTTTACCAAATCATTGATAAGACAAATGGGCGTGCATATGATAAATTTGGTTGGTTTTATTTTTGGATTATTTAAATCAATTGATTTTGATTCTAAAATTTAGAAAGTTAAATTAGCCATAATTTTTTTAAATCAAATTGAACCAAATTGAACGTTAGCTTTGATACCAATCTAGGGTCTCTAGTAGTGTATGAGTATCGATTCATGGGTTGGGGTTGCTTATATAATAAATAGAGGGAAAATTCAGAGAGTTGACAAAGATTTGAAAGGGGAAATTGGCTAAGGATGCTATCCTGAAGGACAAATAGCACGTAGGAGTTACCGGCTGCAGGATGGAGGGATACATACATTTAGGGAGATCCATCACTTGTTCTCAATCATACTACAAACACACCGCTCAAAAGATAATAATGTTACAACACTCCTAAGAGCAGAATTTTAGAGAAGATAATCTCCAAATGTATCAAACCAAGCAAAAAAGTGTTCTTACAGGTTTCCAAAAATAATTCTTGAACTAAGATAATAACAAACCCTAATTCTAATGTAAAATAAAATAAAATAACGGCCCGCATGGTTGGCCCCTCTATGTGGGTGGATAATTTTCGAGGTGAGATTTCTAAGGTGTGAAAAATCTTGCCTCTTGTTTGTCTGGGCAATGTGAGAGTTTCCTCGTGTGAATATGCTTGCATCATTCTCCTCAAATAGGAAGAACCTCACTGTATCATATGGGGGCATCTGGATCCTCATAGTACGATAACAAAATAACAATATTGAATGTAGAACGAATATCAAAATCTCCCAAATTTTTAAATAACTTTGAATGGATTGTCAGCTCGTGGCTTGAGTTTTTCAAAGGAATCTTTAGGAAATCTTTCTTTCAATTTCATCCACACCATTTCATCTTCTTTGAAGACCTTAGCTTTCATGGACCTTAGCTTGCTTCTTATATTTGGTGTTTTGATTGGTAGTTTCTTTCTTCACATGCTCATGCAAGGTTTAAATCTTTTTTGACCTTGACCTTTGCATCAATATTAGGCTCAATAGCTATAGTTACTCACTCCAATGGTATGAGAGAGTTTCGTTTGTATATAATCTTAATAGTGTTGTAACCAGTGGGCTGACTAATGGATCTATTGTAGGCAAATTAAATTTTGAGAAAGGATCAAATCCTACTATTTAGTGTTCTTGCTCGCTATGCAAATTTCCCAAAATTTGACTCGTTACCTTGTATTCCATTTTGGCTGAGTGTGCACGATTGAATTGCATTCGAGTTTTTTACTTAGCTTGCTTCATATACTCCTCCAAAAATGATTAGGAAATTTCACATCCATATCTAAAATAATTAACCGGGCACATCGTGAAGAACATCTCTCCGACCTAGAATATGTGAAGTTTTTGTGGTATGATAACAAAATGAGTCATCTTAGAAAGCATTCCATATCGCTATAACTAAATCCTTACTTCTTGGTGTTGACCTCAATTTTGTGAGGTCTTTTCTTCTCC